AAGGCCGCGCTCGGGGAGATAAGCATTTCCTTAGTCCCCAGCAGGAGCGTGGGAAGGTTAAGAGGAAGAGGCTGGCACCACCCTAAGGAATTCGCGGTGTTGGCTTGCTGGCTGGGGAAGTTTAGATTCAGCCTGGCGAGATTCTGTCTTGTGGGTGAAAGCTAATAAAAGCTATTGAACTAGACCTGTACTGTCGCGTGGAGTTCTTTGGGCTGAACCTGACATCAATCTTAACAGACTCGTACTACCATCGAGAGGGGGGAAATTGGAATCATGGCAACGGATCCCCAGGGGGCAAATCTGACACCACAGCTGTTGGCGGCAGCCCTACTACAACATCAACAGCAAGCAAACACCGCGAATTCCTTAGGGTGGTGCCAATCTCATCCTCTTCACCTTCCCACGCTCTTTCTGGGGGCTAAGGAAATGCTTATCTCCCCAAGCGTGGCCTTCACCAAACCATTCCATCACATGCCTCCTATTTTTTCCCACAACAACCACCCTGTGAGGTGGGCTGGGCTGAGAGAGAGGGACTGGCCCGAAGTCACCCAGCCGGCTTTCGTGCCTCAGGAGGGACCAGGACTCACCATCTCCTGGTTTCTAGTCCAGAGCCTTCACCATTACACCAACCTGGCTCTCTACGTTAGAGCATCATGTTTTTTGCAGGGCTGGATTTTGCTGCTAAGATCTCCCTTTGACCAAACATCTGATACCTTTTTCTGGCCAGGAGGGCATCCTGGCAGACAAAGCAGTGTGCAAACACCCAGCGTGTTTATCTTTCAGCCTCTGGAGGTCAAGTGGAATTTAAGTCAGACACCACTGGAAATAAAGGGGATGCTTACGGCTGCACTGTAGCATGCTGGCTTAATCTCTGTTTTGCTATTTTAATTCAATGAATCATTTTTCAAACAGGAGGCCTGAAGGGAGGCCTCTTATGGGCTCTTTCCTCTTCTGTTCAAAACTCCCAGACATGGAACGCCTGAGAACATTTTCTCAGTGTGTGTTTTGATTGCGTTATTGAGTGGTTGAGGATCACAGGCTAGAACCCAGGAGACCGTGAGTTCTAGTCTGCCAGCTGGGTGATCTGGGGCTGGTCGCTCTCTCTCAACCCTGGGAAGAAAGAAGGAGGCAAGGGCAAACCCTTTCAAACATGATGCCTAAAAAACGGCAGGGACACATCCAGGCAGTTGCCAGGAGTCAACACTGACTCAAAGGTACCAAAAAACCAACCAACCATGCATTCTGGTTTAAGACTGTAATAAAGTTAGTTTGGCTTGATATTTTCTCAACAACAGAGAGGCAGGTTAACTTTTCCAAAACACACTTCTTTATTGTTACAATTGCCATTCTCCTTCTGGGGCTGAGCCTTGCTACTCTGGCACTTATAAGGGCTGTGCTCACCTGACATTGGTGCCACCTCCTTGTCCCCACAAGATCAGGGGACTTCTGGAGACCTTCCAAGCTGAGCTGAGTAACCTTCAGCTCAGGTGTTCCCTGAGAACAAATGCTGGAAAGAGTTTTAGCTTTTCCTCTGGAGCTGTGGAGTGGGCAGCTCCCCAATACAGGGCCTTGTCCCACCGCCTGGGACTTCCCGCCCCTCCTCCTGCGCCACGAGAGCAGGTGCCATTTTGCAGCCCTCCCATGAGCCAGCTGGGGAGAATGCTGGGCAACGCAGAGGACTGAGAACAGCCGTGGAAAGACCACCTTGGCTTCATTACGCTGCTGCTGAGGGGCAAAGCCAGAGGTTGCGTGGAAATGTCCTGTGACTGGACACACACACGCGCTTAGTTGTTCAGCCTTCTGCTGACTGAAAAAGACAAAACTGGCAGAGGAAGCAGGGAAAGCATCACCTCAAAGTGACCGCTCCTGCGGACCAGGGCAGTGGAGCATGCGAGCATCAGGCAGACGAGGAGCTGAAGGAGGAGGCCTGTGAGGGAGGCAGCTCCATAAACCCATCCGATGCCAGGCCGGGTGGTGAGCAGGTATTCCCAGAGATGATACTCTCCCTTAGCCTGAGACATTCCCGCTACAGGGGAGAGAAAGGCTGGATAAGTGACTCCCCAAAACAGTCTTTTGCGTTAAGCTTGACCCAGCAACATCAGATGTGGAGGTGAAGAAGAAGGGACCCAATGTAAACATATTTTTTCCAATAATATTTTGGCTGTATTCATACAACACATCTAACCTGGTTACTAAATTAACTCATTTTCTGGCTTGTACAATACTCTGAACCATAAATTAGCCAAGGGATTTGCCCTATACTGTAAGTCCTCTAAACTCACCCAAGCCTAGCATGTTGCATTGAAGTAGCCTCCAGGTGTTTTACTGGTTTAGTTCACGAACATCACATGAACACCACTGTTAGCATTCATGCCGAAACATTCTTTATTAAACGATATTGTAGCTACCTCAATAACTTTAAAATCTTTTAATGCACGATCCAACCAATTAGAAAATTGTGAATATGATGCCCATCAAGATAAAATAGTCAAACCAGAGCCGACAATCTCTTTCTTTTTTAAAACATACAATATTATAATTTGCATTTAAACAGTTTTTCATTAAGAACTATTAAGCCAATATTTCAGTTTTTGAAAAGTGGTATTTTAGCCCTTTAATTAAAGCTCAGCACCAAAACAGCATAAAACCTGCTGATAAAAATTATATGCCTGGCAAAGTGCATAATAAAGGCTGAAATTATGCAGGAAGAGGTGACTGTTGACCAGCTCAGTAGCCCGGCAGGAAACTGCACATCAAGATGATACCCCCTTTAAAAATATATATTACTGCCAACACTTCCATATCTCTGCCAATGTTTTGTTATTATATGTCCCATTTTCTGTAGTCTGAGAAAATCTGGAAACACCAAAGAAAAAAACATAATAGGCGGAGAGTTGTGTTAGTCTATTGTAGCCCCAAATCAGCAGTGTGGTAGTAAATTTTTCTAACTAACAAATTTGGAAATAACTAGACAGATCTTTCACGATCGATGGCATAAGGCAGTGTTGTCCAAACTTGGCCACTTTAAGAGGAGTGGACTTCAACTCCCAGAATTCC